TTCTGATCTGTTCTTCCAGCCTTTTAACGGTAGGAAGGATTAATTAGTCAACATCTGGAGCACTCCTGTACTCTGAAAAGGCAAAGGTAAGGATTATCTTAATTCCAGGGTGATGTTGGAGTCACCATAACCCAGTCACAGTCCTTGGCCCGTGCTATTTTGGTTAGAAAGGAGACTTTGTTAGTCACATTTTGTCACTGGGACAAAATGCCTGAGCAAATCAATTAAGAGGAGGAAAAGGTTATTTGTTTTAGGCCAGAGTTGACTGGCTTAATGTCATTCGGCCTACAGTGACACAGAACATCAAAGTGTGCTTTAATAGGGAATCTATGACAGAGAACACTGCTCAGTGCATAATGGCTGGCAAGTGGTCAAGGAGCGATGGGCGGGTACCAGGAACAGGATGTATTCTTCAAAGCCCCTAGTAGTCTGCCTTCTCCTTCAGGCACCGCCTTCCACCCCACCCTCAATGGACAGCAGGGAGATGGACACACTGCTCAGTCAGAGCCCTTCCGCATAATCACTTTTCTGAAGATAGCCTTTGATCTACAAGAGTGGAGTGTACTTCATAGTCAAACCACAGTGCCACATTCAATCAGAACTGAGAATAGTTCTGACTTCTAATATGATCAGAGTCTTAAACATCTGAGTAACTAACACATTAAAAACATTAGAGGGCTTCCTATTGTCTTCGCCCTTCTATTGATGTTACTACTGTTTACTTTAACCAAGATTTAACAGAGATTGTTGAGACCCTCGGCTTCTCCAGAGTGTTTTGTTGCAGTATTTTTTCTGTGAACGATAACTTCCATGACAACTCACCGACTCCTTTAGGAACTACACCGAGTTTCCCATTCACCATCTTTAGGCTCGATGGATAGTCCCAATTGCCCTGAAGAAGATCTGGGAGAGGTGCCAGAAATATCAGAGTCCCATTGCTCTATTTTTCAGGGACCAGTGAGGCATCTTAAAAGTTTTGAGTTTATTTGCATATTATAGAATCATAATTGTTTGTAGGAGAAAATTCAGAAGAAAGGTAAATGGCTAACATGGTGTGAGTCTAACTATATATTGTTAAACTTTTTGTGATTTCATTGAAAAATATTAGAAAAAAATCAATAGAATTAGTAGGGAAGTCAGTGGGAGCAATTATGATCCCATATGATCTTTTGAAAGTGATGCTGAGGTCAGAGCTGAATGGACCAGAATCCAGTTCATATATTAAGTTTGTAAGGCCTTTGACTCATCAGGTTTTTGTTTGGAGTTACATTTTTGTCTTTGTGTTTTTCTTGTTATTTTTATTGTAAATTTATGAACATTAATTAATCATCCTTTCTAAGCATTTTTGCACATGCCATGTGGTAGGATTAGATATATTCATATCGCTGTGTCGCCAATCCCACCTCAGTATGTTCACTTTCGTCACTGTAACAAGTTCTTGAGATGACTCACAGTTCTGCAGGATGTGGCCCACTATCAGCTTATCAGTTGGCCACATCACTTTTAGGCCCATAGCACAGAGCATAGCATGATGCAAGCACACACTAAGCAGAACTGCTCACCTCAGTGAGAAGCATGAGAAACATCTCCTTTAATAATACATCCCTGTTATATTATAACATTAGTTATATATATTATTATGTTATTATTATATATTAGTTATATTCTGTCACTGTGGAGACACCATGATCAGGGCAACTTTTATAAAAAGAAGCGTGTAATTGAGAGATTAAATAGTTTGGAACTGTAGCTCTCCTCTGAAGCAGTGTAGCTTTGGAAGTGGGTTGAAGTGTTTGTGCTAAAGGTGTGTGCATGAAGAATAGGTCCCTGTTGCTAGTGAAAGCAGTCTTTGTTATACTGATGTACTAGGCCTGGTACTGCACTGCTTGCCATGAGGTTCTGCACTTGCCAAGGATGCTACGATTTCTACTGTCATACATAATCAACTTCATGGCTCATCATACCCATGAGGTAAAAAGCAGTTGTTAGAAAACAAAGTTTTCTAACCTCCAATATAAAACAGAAGGATGTCACCCCTGATTTGTTCTCTATCCTCTTTGTCCTCTGCCTGCTTTTGCTACCTTTTAAAAAAAAAATCCTACGTAGTATGTATATGGTTCACGCTCCTTCCTGTATCTTCCTCTGCTATTTTATAAGCACCTTGTTGCTTCAGTACTCGTTCATACCTCTTACTAGGGACAGTTGCTATGATGTGACACTGTCATTCTCCTCTCTGTCTTACTTCTTGTCTGCTTCCTCAGCCTTTCGCTGACACTTTCTCAACTATGGGAGTGGACTGACGCCTGATGGCCATTGTCCCCATTCTGACCTCTGTTACTGCAATGGTTTAGTGAGCACGGTTGTTTCCCACACAGTGCACTTCTGCTGGACCATGGACAGCTGCCAGGGCTCACTGTTTGGGAATCTCTTGTGCCTGCTTTGCACATGGTACCTAGGAAGGGAGGGGTAAATTGAGCAGTGTCAGAGATGATAGATGAATCACAATTAGAATTGAAAAATGGCCACTGGACTCAGCAGAATAGAGGTAATTAGTAAGTTTTGTCAGAGCTTTTTAACTGATAGTCCAGACAGAGGAGGAGTTAGGGAGGAGGTAAGGGCAGGGAAAAGGAAGGAAGAGTTAGGGAGGAGGTAAGGGCAGGGAAAAGGAAGGGGGAGGAACAGAAAGATGACAAAGAGAAGAGACACAGGGAGTTTCCAGGAACCACTAGCCAGAGAGGACTAGTGTCTGCAGTGCCATGTGATTCTGTGTCCCTGAGATGAGCATGGTGGTCCCATGTGCATATTCCTAAAATGACCAATGCACATGAGAGTGGGGCCTCAGCTTCTGTATGCACCACGCTGAGATCTTATTTGGAGAAAGTCTGTCTTTGCTCAGAGAAGCTCTTACCTATCTCTTGTTTACTGTTTATCACACATCTTTTTAGTTTAAAAACAACCCACGAACCAAAGCTTTCTAAGTATGAAAGTCCCTTCCTGTCATTTGTGTCTCTTAATTTCAAACAGAGTATCCTGTGTGGAGCAGTATTTCAGAAAAATAAATCTAAGGACTGTTTAATTGCATTTTTATTTTTTACATCTAAATTATATAGTGAAAATGCGTTTCAAATCGTACTAAGACAACGCTGTTTAACTCTTGAAATTTGTAATAGTTACACAGAGACAAGTCATAGGATACAGGCATGGAGCTCATGAACTCTGCTGGCTGATGCGTTCCCAGCTGTGACTCAAGCTTGCTCCTGGAGCTCCTGTTAGAAGTATTTCCACTTCTAGCATTTACCACCACATCCCAGGACAAAGATGACATTAGATGCTATCACCTTGCTGTGCACAATTTAAAGATTATAAGTGGTTTCTGGAATCTTCTATATAGTTGTTGAACCATAGTTGACCTCAAGGAGCTAAAACCATGATATATTAGTTTGAGTTTCCATTGCTGTGAAGAGACACCATGACCAAGGCAACTTTTATAAAGGACAATATTTAATTGGGGCTTGCAGGTTCAGAGGTTCAGTCCATTATCATCATGGCGGGAAGCATGGCAACAGGCATAGCGCTAGAGAAGGATCCAAGATATTGTTCTGAAGGTAACCAGGAGGAGACCAGCGTCCTCAGGCAGCTAGGAGGAAGCTCTCTTTGCCCACCCCCACATTTCCTTCAACAAGGCCACACCTAGTCCAGCAAGGCCACACCTCCTTATAGTGCCACCCCCTGGACCAAGCATTTTGAAGCTAACACACATGACAAGCCAAACTGTGTGTGTGTGGGAGGACTACTAGTGTGTGTTGTATTGTGATGCATGAAAGGGGACAAAGCTGTGACCTTTCTACAAGTCGGGGCTCAAGATGTCCTACATAGTGCAAGCAGTCATGGTAAAGCTGGCACTGTATCCCAGTTCCTTTCTGAATCAACATAATGGGTTCATAGTAAGACTGTACATTGAGCTAAGTACTAGCTTGTAGTAGAGGAGAAAAGCCTAAGGCGCTTGCTACTGGGCTGAGCTGTAGTTCATGTGTAGCAGATGCGAGTTCCACATGAACAAGCACCAAGCTGGTTGTTCCAGCTGTGCAAGGCAAGTTTCTTAAAGCTGAGCACAAGAGGGTAGAGTCAAGCTGGAGGTCACTGACCATCTTTGAATAGTGTTTGACTAGAAACTGGCCTCTTGTTAAAAGGCTTCTAGAGGATGAGTGGCTACTGCTTTGAGCTGAAACAAACTATTCAGTCAGGAGTCAGAAACTGGGGTTTGGATCCCAAGTTCTCATGTGTAAGCCAGGAGATTGTTAACATACTTGATGGTAATCCAGAGCCTTGCCTCACCTCTTGCAAAGTGTCCTGAGGATGCTCCTGAAGATGCGGACTGTGGGAGTCTTGGCAGCTGCCACGCATGGTTCAGAAGTGAATCATCTTTTCGGTCCCAGGAAGCAGATGGCTCCATTCTGAGTACCTAGGCAACTAGAAATGTCCTTAAAACAACTGCCTTACGCTGATATACGGACACCAAAATTCAGACGAGTCATGCCAGAGCAGTGTTGCTACATGTATTCTTAAAATTACCTTTACTTTTTTTACTGCAAGATTTGATGTGACTTAAACTTCTCATAAGTGCAACACTGTAGATATTCCTTTATATACAAGTTTTTAAAATTGAATCTTTTTTGGGTATGCTAAAGTTAAGATGCCTTGAGAAGGAGAGAATAGAAATTTGGGGGTGGGAGACTACTGAATATGATTTCTTAAAGTATTCAGTATATAAAATCAGTTTAACTGTAACTTTATATAAGTGTACATCTGTCACATAGATCCATGTGAGCCGCAGTGGGAGTGGGTTCTCTAAAATCCCCGAGGAGGTGTCTGGGGATGGATTGAGAAAGGACAAAGTAGGCTGCTTGAGTTTCACAGCCCAATGCATTGAGAGATAGCCATTATTAGTGAAGCCTTGCACCCAAGTTCAGTATGTTTATCATGAGCCTGCTCTGCCACAGGTTCCGAGTCCGAGGGGTCGCTGACTTGCCTGGAAACTGTGACAGCACACTCCTTTGAAGACAACGAAGTGCCTGTGAGCAGTGGAAAACACAGAATGTCTGAAGGAAAAGACTGTGGTGGGGGAGATGCGCTCCCCAATGGCATCAAAAAGCACAGGTATGGGGTCTTGGACCGTAGTCAGCCATCACCATCACACAGCTTGGGCTTGAAAATGAGTGCTTTCCTCTGCTTCCTCCCCAGTACTGGATGTTTATGTTGCTTTCTGTGCCACCTCCAAGGCAGGATTGGAAGCACTCTTTTTTGTCTGCTTGGAGGAATGTTCCCTGGACATTCAGGGCAGAGCTTGGCTTCGGCCCCCAGGCTTTCAGGGAGTGTCTGATCCTTCAGTTGGGAGTGAGGCTCTCAGAACCCCCGTTGGAACTGATGCTCTGCTCCCGACTCATCATTCATCTTTCATGACTGCCTCCCAGTGCTATTTTGGTTCCTAGTCATTTGATCTTCTTGTTGGTTTTAAGAGTGAATAGTAATGTTGCCAGCCTGCTGTCAGAATCTAGTTAAATTGAAACAAAGGCTGTTGCTAAGGTCCGGGATTTGCGGACCACATTCATTGTATATGCTCTAATGACATTAGTGTTTTATTTCCCCAGGGGGTTGTGCTAGAGAGTGTCCCAAATGATGAGATGTAACAGACACCACAGGTCTCTGGCTTCTGAACAAGTTCACAGAGTGGTAGAGTGTAGTTTTATAAAATTACGATCAAGTGGGTTATCCTGTTGTCTTCATGATGAGATGGTAGTTAATTTCTCCAACAGTCTTCTGTGTGTTTTATAGATTGTATAACACCAAGATTCTGACCATAGCTGCCTCAAGCATTGTCCAGTGCTGCTCTGATATGTACATTCCCTTGTTTTAAAAAATGTTTCTATGTTTGCATTTCTTTTAAAAAATATAAATGGATTTTTAAATACCATAAAGTTCATGTGACCCTGACTTAGAAGCTGTCTAGATTAAAGCAGTTTTTCTTTGTTGATTCTGACACTTCAATGGCTTCACTACTACAGATGATGTGGCCAGTAGTGAACCATGGCCAGTTCTACAACGCTTGTCCATAGTCAGCAGCAATAACTGTGGCACACAGGACTGATGTATGTCTATCCTGGACATGAAATACCTCCTAGTAAACCTGAGATGGATATCTGTAAGAGACACAGCCAGTTACTAAACACATGGTGTGTTCTCAGTGACAAAATAAGCAAAATCTTTGGGGAAATAAACAATTTGAGTTCTTTAGGTAGTTATTAAAATATCCAAATAAGTACAGTGCCAGGGCCAAGCAGCTGCTCTGGACTGTGGCCTCTGGGTATGCCCTTTGGCCTTTCACCCTTCTGTGTATGTACTGTTACAAGGCGGTAGCTATTTTGTATTCAGAGTGATTATGCTATACTAATCTATTCTGCTCTCTTAATCATACCCAGAAGGATACAAAAATGCAACTCAGAATTGTTAACAAGTTGTAGGGAGAGAAAACATAAGGAACTCCAGACTTAGCCAGACAAGTTACATTTATGAGTAAGGGGCATCCTATTAAGATTATAAGTGTAATGACTTGTTCTCCTGTTACTCTGTTTCATCAGAAGGAGAGAAGTTCCGAAATTGTCAGAAGCCTTAATAATTGCAGGCTTGGAAAAGGTAGCTTGAAGTGCCCATGTTTTGTAATGCTCACCTATAGCCAGGGGATATTGTAAACCCATCTTAATTGATATACTGATAATTTTTTAAAAGTATTTTCAACCATTTTTCTAATTTTTTCATGAAACTATTTGTCCAATAGAAAGATAATTTAACAATGATTAAAATCTCACTCCATTCACTTAGACAGTACCCATTTTTTTCTCATAAAATATACCTTAGTTGACAGGTCAGTGCTCAGCCTGACAAGGCTTTCTTGCTATCTGGGCCAGATCCCAAACGAGCAGTTCTCTGTACTTGCCCCTAATTTCTTTTGAGCTCTAATCTTTTAACTTGTAGTACTTTCCCCCAAATACTTCTCCTTGTAAAGGTTTGCCTGTGGGTTTCAGCGTGTCACTGGATATAGTGTAAAAATACAAAACAGGTAGTAAACAACTGCTGGACTCGGGGGAGGTTCTGAGAATGCCATTCCCTATCTCAGCAGCATCCACAGATTAGAAGACATAAGTGATCCTTCCTAGCAGACGAACTTGCTTCTCATTAGGAAGTGTTTCAGCAGACTGCATTGGGGGGAGGAGGGAGGGGAACAGCTCCAGTGTCAACCACTACAACAAGTGCTTAGAGATGAGCATTAAGGCAGTCACAACATCAGAAATCAAACATGAGACCTCATAGGCAGAGACACAACACACAAAAATTTGAGAAATAAAATTGTCATTATCCACAGACGACATATTTGTCTACATAGAAGATGCTTAGTATCCATAGAGAAATTGTGAGTTAGTAAAAATATTTGGCAAGGTTGTTGTTATATACAGAATTACATTTTTGTTAATTATCAACAGAAACTGGAATTAAAATTAGAGGAAAAGAAATACTTGGAGCAGCTATTGGAAGTCGCAAGCTTATCAATTTTAGCTACCCCCCAAAAAACCCACCCACACAATAAAAAAGATACTGATAATTTTGAAAATGAATACTCATTGTCATAAAGGTCCTCTTGCCAGATTGATCTGTAGATGTAATACAGTTTTAGTTCGAATTACATTCTTTTTCCTTGGAAGCTGTGAAGTGGGTTTTGAAGTGTCTGCTGAAGCACAGAGGGTTTTCAAGAGTCAAACCCAGGAGCCACATCACATGAAAGGATGCTGTTTTCTCTACTGAGTGTCAAGGTCTGTGACAAAATATTTAATTCAGACTTTTCTAGGAGATAGATTGACCTGTAGAGAATCATCATGTGGAGGAAAGCTGGTCTTTTAATAAAGCTAGCGTGGCAGATCAGTGAGGGGAAAAAAAGGGAGGGGGATTTGGTATGGAATAATTAGTAATCATCTACTACAGGGAGGGAGAGCAATGAACTCTCTCATAGACGGGGGTCCCTTCCTGTCTCCAGGTTCACCAGCTATAGGTTTAAGCTATTGTCTATGGAAAGTACTTTCAAAAGTTGAAGTAATTGTTTCATGTTAGGTATCAAGTAATCTAGAGATCATTTAAATACACAGAAGACATATGCAGGTTTCTGTGCACATAGGACACAATTTTATATAGCTGACATCAGGAACTGCAGATTTTCATTCCAGGAACTGGGGCCTTAGAACCGATGCTGCACAGATTCCGCAGCATAACTTCATATAATTATAAATTCAAGACAAACCAAACACCTAAATGTAAAACTTAAAATATCTTCATAATGTTGAGGTGGGGAAAGATTTCTCACAGCAGAAATGGTGGATTGTTTATTTCCTCTGATGTTAATTAATGCAAGCTCATTTGTCTGTTAATTTGGGTGAAGCTCTGTCTTAAACGTGGATTGCAAGAGTTTGTTATGCTGAGATCCATGATGGTTGAGTCTCCATGTAGTCAGTAGCTTCCCTGCTCTCCATGACTGTGTGATGTGAATTCTTAGGAAGCCGAAGGGAGAGTAATGTTGTACAGTTCTATTCTGTGTTTGAAGATTTTATTCTAGAGATTCACAGACAAGTTGAAGTAAATAAGTTGAAAACTATAATCTATATCAGTATTTTTCAGAAAGTATAAATGTATTGAGAAAATGTGAAGTATTTAGTGCATATTCTATCATCACTGGAGCCATAGACACGCTCTTTTTGAGCTACTTTACTGGCTTCTATGCTCTACCACCCTTCCAACCCTTACTCCATCCCAGTCCCTGCCAACCCCTAACACTAGGTAGGAGAGAAAGCAGGATAGAGGGGAAAGGGAGCGTAGACCTCTTTAGACTACTTCCTGCTGATGGAGGGCACCAAGTTTCTTGAAGCAAGTCCAGTCTTCATTTTCAGGACATTTTCAACCAGCAATTCAGCAAAACAGCAATCCCGCAGTAGCAAATGCAGCAGCAGGGGAGCTGCAGCCAACACAGGCCCTCCCAGGGCTCTCACATGTATACCTTCTCAGGAGTTCTCAGACTTCTAAATATAAACTATCTGCAACTGGCAAAAGTCACACCATTCCTAGGATAGGAGACAATCGTACTGGCTGTAGACAATCTGAAGTAGCCTCTTATCTCACACCTTGGATTAAAAAAAAACAAAACCATTCATATAGTATAACTGTGTTTTTTAAGAAACCAAAATTCTCACTACACTGGAACCATCAGAGAAAGAGCAAGAACTTTGCCCAGAATTCAGCAGGTTTGTAGAAGGATCTGGGGACAGCAGGAGTTTGTGCTCTCTCTTGCCTTGTCTGGGATGAAAGGAGAGAGCAGCAGTAGAGAGCTTCAAGCAGTTTAGGCGTGGGGTGTCCCCTGACCAGCTGAACACCCCACAGAATCCTAAGAAACAGCCTGCTATAGTAACTCAGTGGGGCGATCCTGTGAGCAGTGTGGAGGTTGGGCGAGGGTTCCACTGTGCTGGAATGTAGGCTGAATACTGCTAGTCAGTCAGCTGCAGTGCCTGCTCCTGGAGGCCAGTGCCTGCTCCTGGAGGCCAGTGCCTGCTCCTGGAGGCCAGTGCACATTGGCACTGGAACAGACTGGCAACTTAGATGGCAGCAGCTGAAGCAGGGACCTCATCTCAGCAGTCCACTCAGGCTACAGGGCATTCATCTTCTACATAATTGCATTCCAAGTCTTCCCCCACAAAGAACGGTGCCAGCTTGACAGATGGGACTAGTCAGGAGGGACTAGTCAAGAAAGACTAGTCAAGAGGCACTAGTCAGGAGATTTTAAGACTTCATTTAAGAACAACATGCTTAATGGCAGACTGTGGGGTCACTTTGCATATGTTAGGAAGAAACAAAAGGCAGGTTGGGCTGCTTACTGATAGGGATCTCTGTAGGAAAACTGATATCTACCATGTAGAGCTCATCCATTCCTATGCTCCACTGGAAAGAGGTAGTGGAGGAACTGATCTTTGTGAGGCCCACAGGCCCACCCTTGCTCCAGAGATGCCTCCTTGTAGCCTGGAAGTGCTTTAGTTAGTTGGTTGATTAGTTAGTTTGTTAGTTACTTA